AGTGAAGAACTAAAGAAGAGCGTAGACAAATGTTTGCATGTGCTTAGAAAATGCGCTGAAGTATGCACAGCCAGGTAACTGAATGCCAATGACAAATTTATGTATAAACTTTAGCGCATAAAGTGCCACTAACTAACCCATACAAAAACACACGCACACACACACACACACACACACACACGCGTGCATACAAAGTCGAGTGCAATGGCACGACGAGGCGCCTGGGCGTATGCTTTATGAATAGCGCATACAAAGTGCAATTCTATGAATAGAGAGGTTGCCCCCAGAGAGAGAGAGAGAGCAAGTGAGGAAGAGAGAGAGAGAGGGAGAGGGCGCCTCAGGCTCGCCTGAGCACTTACAATAAGCACTCCCGCGTTGATTATTATTAAAGGCGCCCATTTCAAAAGAGCGGAGGCGCTCCGACAATGTCAATGTGCTGGCTTTGCTCTGCTCGGCTCGGCTGTGGCGCAGCTTTTAATGATTTATTTGAGAAAATTTACACGTGAGCGCCAGTCCAAAAACAAACACACATACACAAACACACACCACACACAAGATGAATGGAACATTCACATATGTGCATGAAAATGGAACCCTGAACGGCACGGGGTCTACTGCTGCTTGGGCATTTTTGGATAGAAGATACAGATACAGAAGCGCCTGTATTAAGTTGCCAGACCATGAAATTCTTTGGCACGTACGTAGCGCCAATTTTGCGAAGCTTTTTTGCATAAACAAAAGGGGCAGGTGAGCAGCACCTGGGCCGCCCTTCCTTCTCACTAACTCTCTCTCCCTGTGTGTGTTATTTCAGTTACAATTCGCGCTTTTTCATATTCTTTTAACGATTTATCATGCGAAAATTGTCTGGTCTCACTTTGCATATGCAAACCAACGTCGGCTATTATTATTTAACTGTCCGCTTTTCTTGCATTTCCTATTGTTATTTCTCGTTTGCTTACCCTGCGGCACTACGTAAATTTAGTCACGTTGTTTAAATAATAAACTGCATCACAAACACCCCCAACCACGAAATTATGCAAAAATATCATCATCAGATTCCCGGACAATGGCAAAGTTATGATGACAATGCACATACGACATGTGGCTTGGTCAAAAAGGGGGGGATCTCTCACACTGGAAAACTGATGCCACAACTGATACAACTTAATCAGTGAGACGTTAAGTGTGTTGGGGGACAGTTGGATAAGCGACCGTGTATTCAGGTTCAGCGATAAAAAAAAATTATACGCAATTAATTATTTCATATCGCCAAGTGAATATCTTTGACTTCTAATTAGCATGAAATATACACAAATACACGACATTATCGATAAGATGTGTAATTTAATGACTGCAATCAAAAGTTTGAATGAGAAAATGAGTTTGATTAACCGTTAAAGGCGAATCGAGATATGCATCAATTTATGCTGCAGCATCGCGCCATAAAAAAGCGAATAGTCCGAGGCTGCAATCACAACAACTCGTATATATGTGCGATTCTTTATGGTTTAATTATACACATAAAGTTCTTAAGATATTTTCAGAAATTGTGTAAAATAGGAAGACAAACAATGTGCGATAGCTAATGATTTAATCAAGATTAATACAAGAAAACCATTTTATTCCTAATAAACTTTGGAAATCTTCCCTTTGTCTGTTTCTTAACTTTTTTCTATTTTACAGTGCATTTTTTTCTAATTTTTAGATAGTTTTTTGAGCACCTTACGAGTTTGCATTTAACAGAAATTTACTCCTTCTATCAATTTTGCAAATTCCATTAAATCAACCATGAGATTAAACAATCTGAAATTATTATTAAATTATATAAAACAAAAACTCTAAAAAATTAAAAAAAATATATATAAAAAATATTTATATATTTAAAATGGAGAAAACTCCTACAATTGAAGTTTTGATTAAATAATATATATGAACAAAGATATTATATAAATAAAGTTATTTGAGATTTGGATATATTTCTCAAGAAAAAATATATGAGATAAATCTTTTTTTTATAATTTTAAACCGTATATATAAGTTCTACTTATCCGCATTGCAACAACTTTAACTTTATTATCTTTTTTTCACACCGAGCAACAGTCTTGCCAGATGCAAAAAACAGCTCATGCCCACATAATTAGCATGGCCATGGAGGCAGTTGTTAACTTGCCATAACTAAAATTCGTACTCCATAAAATAAAGAAACAGAGAAGTAGAGAAAGAGAAATACTGCCCACCTCCAGCCCCGACCTCGACCTAGAGCTATTTGTTACATTTTAGCTCTGGCGCACAAAATTATAACGCCAGTTGCCAACTTGGGGCAAAAACGAAACAAAACCCTGCCACCGCGACGGGGACCTACTTTCGCCAAAGGCAAATAAAAGGGGTTACCAAAAATAGCCATGCAGCCATATAAAGAAGCACTGAGCAGACAGCAAGCACCTCCCCCCACTCGCATATAAGGTCATAAAATAGTTGTCGCAACCTGGCGGGATAAGCATCTGACTCTGCCCCAGACTCTTCCTGTGGCCTGCAGTTCCAAACACACACACACACACTCACACACACATAGTCTCTCTGATTACTTCGTTAAGTTGCATGTTGGTACAAATTGTTTCCAAAGAAAGGCAATGGAAATAAAAATTATTGCCCCAAAACAAACAGGCAAGGGTTAAAGGTAACCACAACAACATGAAACTTGTGAAAGGTGACTGTAAGCTATTAAGCTACACTAAATAAATAAATATAAAAAAATAACCAACTGCAACAGCATCATCGCGCTGTGATTATCTCGACCAGAGATTCTAGTTTATGGCGGATCCTACGATCCCAGAGACTGCAGACACATTCATTGGCCTTGGTCTTGTGGATTGGGGACTCCTGTCAAATATGCAGCTCTTATCACATGTTGTCATCATTCGAAATGATGCACAAGTGTACCAGAACCAGACAACAACAAATTAAAAGCCACTCGCTGGGAACTTCATTAGAGAAAGTCACAGACGATGACCCGCAGATCCAAAAAAAAAAAAAAAACCCCAAAGCTATAACCTAGAGTCAGAGCCAGCCTCACAGTCAGACCCTTTGCCTACTAATTTTTTAGTAGCTGTGTTGTTTTGTGTTTTTTGTCAAAGCTAATTAGTACGTAAAGGCATTAACAATGGATCGCAGTGACGAATATATGATCGCGTCGACTGCATTTCAAGTGTCAAAAGCATATTTTTTTGTCTTTCCACGACCAAGTTTTGGGCCAAGTCATTATAGCATTGGTATTAGCATAATACGCGTATTATGCGTATTAATTACAGCGCCGACATTTGCATTTAAACGCCTATTTGTTGGCCAGGCCAGAAACAAAGGGCAGTACAATCATCGGTGGTGGGTCTTAAGACCCAGTAGCTAATGCTATCCATGACCCCAACTATAATTATTAAATTAAAAGACAATGCGTTTGCCCTGGCATCGGCTAAAGACCTGCAAGATGCGTACGTTTTGTTTGGTTGAAAAAGCGACCACCCGAGCGTGGAGAAAGAGCTGGAAAATGGTTGCAGCGAGATGGATATCAAGTTCAAGTTGAAGCCAAGCCATAAATAGAAAACAAAAAGAGTTATTATGTACAAATTTGCATAAATTTCACGCTTGACAGTGAAATGATGCAGAGAGGATGTTGTTAGAATGCCAGAAACGTTGTTTTCACAGGCATTTTCAAAGTATTCAAAGTATGGAAAACTAATTTCTTAATCACTGTTTGCTGTTCAATGTGGGTGTCCAGAACAGGGAAGTCATTTTTCATTACTAATACCTAAATTGAATTTAACAAAACGGTAGTCAAGTTTCGGAGTCTATGCTGTCTCTTAGTTTCGAGCAAATCTTTAGGAAGTACACTATTTATATGATATTATTATCCGGATAATTAAATAAAAATTAGCTTGAACAAAGCTAAGAAGCTAAGATATATACCTGCCATATACATGCCAAATTTGATTTTGACCCTAGCTCTTAAAACCTAGAAGAGATTTTCCTAAAAAAATCATAATTTCATATCGATTTGTATCGATTGCTTGGAAACGGTGCATGTTATCGATGCTTTGAAACAAAATCATACTGCGCGCGGACAAGCAGGACTTAGGTACATACGTTCATACATACGGACGGACGGACGGACGGACAGACGGACGGAAGGACGGTCGGATGGAAAGACAGATGGATGGACAGACAGACGGACATGTCAAGAACGCCCTTCGCCTATTGATGCTGGCCAAGAGTTATTGCACTATATGGGGTCGATATGGTAGATGCTTCCTTTTGCTTGTTACGTACATTTTACCCAAAGGCAATATACCCTTTTTACGAATGAATGGATTTCGAGTTTGAAACCTAAGTCAGATTGCTTTAGTCTGAAGTGCCAGATTTGTATGCTAACAAGAATCCACATGCCAGATTTGCTGTCTCTTTATCGTATACGGTCAAAAAGCTTAATCTGAAAATCGATAATTATTGAAGTGGCCATTAGATTGATCTGCGGATCATGGGGGAGCTTAGAGTCAAATTTGAAGTCTCCCAAAGTCCGTTCCTAAGCCAACACATTCGTACATACGGACAGATGGACGAACGGACAGACATGCCTACACCGACTCCATTGTTGATGCTGATCCAGAATATGTACCTTATTATAATATATATATTTTCGGGGTACCCAAATAAAAGGATTAAAGTAGCAAGTGGTAAAAAAATCTTAAATATTTTTAATAAATGTAGGGTAATACAGATATTAGGAACTTTTATGTTTAGCTAAAAAGAGAGCTCTGATAATTCAGAAAATAGCTTTTGTAATACTTATAGTATTTTTAATACAATAACACGAAATCTTTGCTTAAATTGCAATACTAAGTGTATCACCAGATTAATTGATGCTCAACTATTTGTTGATTTGGTAAAGAAATAGTTGAATTTCCCACCTATACTGTGATTTTTCGGACAATTTTTCATTTTCAAAATGTTTAGCCCAATATATTGAGAAATTCACTGCCCAAATGATGCACATCTGAAAAGTGCTCCAAAAGTGATTTCTCACATTTTGCATAGACCTTATCACAATCGGCACCCGCATGCCCCAAACGTTCGGCGTGTAGATAATCGTTATCCGTGTGCTCTGACAGGGCATCTATTGAGCTGGAAGGACTTTTAAGATCCGGTTAATTGGTGAATTATAAACGCGTCGCACTTAACTCACGTCAGCAATATGTGCAGGAGCTCTCCCAGCAGTCCGTTGCGCTCATCAAACGGCGAAGCGGCACTCTCGCAGATGCTCTTCAAAATACACTGCCGTCCATTCAGTTGCATGCGTATGGCCATAGCCTCAAAACTCTTGTAAACAGCCCAGCGATAGTCACTGAGCGCCTGCGATGTCTCTTCGATAACTCTTGTGGTCAGACCCACTTCCTCGTCGGTCTTTTGCATGGCCCGCTGAAATATGGTTGCATTGTCCATAAGCTTCCGTTCGGTTATGTCGTGCACGTCCTTTGTGCGTATTTGCTTGGCTGAGTTGGGCAAATAATAGCTCGCCTTGAGCACATAGCCCGTGGTAACGGTCTCATATTTAAGATCTTGCACGGGTATACCAAAGCCCGCCAGAAACTGCAGTGGAAACATATTAGCATTATAAAGATCCTAGTCAAAAGTGTGTACCGACTTTGAATCTGGCGGCATGGGTAGGTGGCCAGATCAGTGGCAACCAGCGCGCCTTTCGCACCAACAGATCACTTTCATCATGTAGCTCATGGCTAAAGTTTTGATTGTTAGCTAAAACAACAGCAAAATAAGCCCAGCAAAGCGCCATAAACCATTTCAGATGTAAAATAATGATCATATTATTGTCTTCCTTTGTATCCTTGCCACGCTGCTCTCGACTACTGCCAAACCGCACAGTTTCAGTGTTAACGCTTAACTATGACAAAGAGCTTTGAAAAAGAAAGCATCTTACTTTCTTCTATTGAAAACTATACATATAATAAAAAACAAAAAAAAAAACCGAAAGTGCCAACTGATAAAACAAATTTGGCTCGAGTCCGTTGAAACTTAAGAGCCATGCTAAATATTTCTGATGGTACTGTGTGCCCATTTAACTTATCGCTCTGGGAATGTGTGAGTTTTCTAAAAACAGTAGACTTCGCGTTCTATTAATTAACACCTAAACGGTCTATTAATTCCATGAAGTACACTAGGCGTGATTTATATTCAAAAGTATAACAGCTGAAAGTTAACCCAGTTTCTTAAATAATGATAAATATTTTTATAATATTGTTGTAAGAGTCCTCAAAACAAAATTTTTAAAGTAATTATTTAAAGTGTACCAAGTATTTACAGTTAGCTTAATACTAAATATGAGATATTGAGAAAATATTAAAACATTTATTTGGTAGTTATTGTTACTTTGTTTGGCCCTCTATATAAGAACACTCGCGAGTGGTATTTTTTTTTTTGTTTTGTTTTAATTTAAAATTTAATTTTTAACTAATACATTAATTTGTCCAGATTGTCATGTAGTTCGCTAAAGTGTTGCAACAAACTGCGATGACATTCCTTGAACACTCGGTCACAGCCAGCGCCCGATTGGCCCACCTTCTCGGCATAGTAATACTCATTATCCGCATGCTCTGACAGCTTATCCACCGATGAAGAGGGTCTATTAACAGATCAAGTCTAAGGGCTATGTTGTGCATTAAACCGCAGCTCTACTTACGTCAGCAGGATATGCAAAAGGTCGGCAATGAGGCCGTTTGCAATATGAAAAGGCTCCTCGGCTGCCTCGCAAATGCTTTTCAGCACACAAATGCGCCCCTGATAGCCCAGGCGTTTAGCCAAACCCTCTAAGGCCTTGTACATCGTCCAACGATAACTGCTCAACACTTTGTTAGTTCTCGTCAGCAGCTTCCTTGTGCTCTTGCCCAATTCATTGGCGTCAACCAGAAAGTTCTCAAACATAGGTCGACGTCGGCGCGCACCAACAGATCCCAACGTGGGCACCTGGTAAAGTGGCAAAGCTGTGGGCGTACGCAATGAATCCGGCGTTTCGGGCAGCCAGTACTCCGCCTTTAGAACATAGCCTGTTGTCACAGCCTCATATTCAAGATCCTCCAGCGGTATACCAATGCCGCCAATGAACTAATTGTATATGTGGTTTCCTTTAAACAATCACTAAATCACGTTCACACTTCTACTCACCATAACGCGAGTGGGTGAGGTCGTTGGAAAGACGAGCCACGGTATGGGCGTTCGTTTGGTACGCTCATGTTTCGATAGACTACCGAGAGTAGCTGTCGCACTTGAAAACGAATTACTTAGTATGCTTATATAGAGACAACTACCTATGGTCAGCAATATTCTCGCTTTCATATTCGATATGTTCTATTTATATTTGGGTATTTTGATAATAAATCAACACACGATGCGCACGTTGTCAATGCTTTGCCCAGCAGCGCGTTACTGAATATCACAGCCTGAGAAAAAAAAAAAAAACCTTCTCAAAGTTCTAGCTAACGCATTTATTGCCGAACTGAGCGACGGCATATTGAAATTATTTAGATAGAATAGATTCTACTTTCTGGCTGCAACTCTTTGGGAATAGAAATGTTACAAATTCTTTTAATTATCACCAACCAATTGACGCTTGCCACATGCTTCTTGCTGGATGGCTGGCCAAGTTACTTAGTTAGTTCATGCGGAAACTGTGTAAAACTTGCATATTCCAGTTATATCTGTCAGACACAAGCTAAGATCTCGTCGGTTTAGTTGGATGGCAAATGAATTCCATTGGAAATTCATTCATAATTTGATGCTTTGACAGGGTTAAGCAAATGTCTTGTGCAGGGAATTCGGAACGTAAATTATTTGCGTATGCAATGTAATTTATTAACTATTGTATTGGGACGACTTGCCAATTGAAAAGGCATCCGACACATCAAGCGATCTTATATACAACTTTTATAGTTCGATTTTGATTTCCCGTCAGCCAAAACGGAAGTAATACTCATATACACGTTACATTCTTAAGATTTCAATTCAGCATGAGCTTCGTATTTAAGCCAGTTCAAATCGTAAAGTTTTGTAAGTCTTTATTTATTTTAATGCGCAGTTCAGCTATATAAACTATTTAACTTTCATGTATTTAGCGAATTTCAATAATGATATTCAACAAAAAAAAAGAATCTAATTAATTATACGACTTTTTTGCCTTTTATTATAGTCCCTTTATTAGGAGCCTAACCTTGGTTTAATTCAGTTCAAATTTATAACAATCATTTTACTGTATATTAAACCCGTTTACATTTTGAATACGTTTATTTAATATTACTAGTTTACCTAAACCTTTAGTAAAATTTGCTATTATTTTTGTATTAGGAATTACTTGTATGTAAAATCAAAAAATATTATGAACCAGTTCAATTTTTGACAATATTTTTCTTTTGTACGTACAACCAAAGTTTGTTTTGAACCCATTTAAATTGTTAATACGAATTTTGTTATGTATAAGAATAAAGCTTGATTTGAACCAGCTTCAATAATGAACTTTTGTTAGCAAACCAAAGGGAACCAGTTCAATCGAATGGAAATCTGTGCAAGAGCAGTCTTTTGAGTTAGCCACTCGCATTTTAGTCAAAAAATCACACCCTGTACTTGACTGATGCCATTTCTTCTTTTGTTAGCATTTCTATTGCACCTTCCACTTGCAATTTTCTACAACTTATATGGAACTTGCAACTGAAAACTGCAAACAGTTCACTTAGCGCATTGTTCGCGATGAGTTCCAATCGCTGGCATTATTGTAGCTACCTCCTAGCTGGACTCATTCTTATTGTACTGACTGTCAAGCTGAGCAGTGCAGTGCTCTTCTTTCCACGTGGCGGTTCCATAGGTGTAAGCGAAGAAGAAAAATCTTCAACCAAATCTGATTTAATTACTTGTGCATTCCAGCTACTAGCTGCAGTGGCCATTCCATTGGATCTTACATATCGCAATGTGTACATGGCCTTCAACTTTGAGTCCAACTATGGTTTGCCTGCGAATGACTCTTACAATCAGTGGATTGATAGGGTAAGTGAACAGATCTTGAGCTCCCGCTGTGCACAAATAATGCTCTTACTTAAAGTGGGATCTGGACGAGGGCTTTCTTGGCATTGGGAGCGATGTGACGCCCATAGATGGACGCAATGACGATAAGCTGGAGAAACGTTCGATTTCGACACCGCCCCGTTTTACACGTCACGACTTCTATAGAGCGATTGTTAGCTATTTGGGTCAGTATGGCTACAATGGCAGCGCCTGTTTGCTGCGCACCATCTGCGAGGTGACCGCTGCCCCACTGGATGCACACAACGGCGTGTTGGGCAGCATATTCAAAATTCTATTCATGTAAGTTGGGGTTATTGTGTGTGACCCCATGCCTGGACAAATTTTCAGATCTAATTAGTGGCCTCACGCCTTTCACACAGGCCAACGACAAGCGCCGCCGAGCAGCGACTGCAGCACGTGGATAGCCTCTATGAGGCTACAGAGATGGGCACGCGCGCCTTAAACTGTGCTGATTACGTGGCCGGTTGTGCACACAGTATGCTGGACATGATAAGCGTTATGCTCTAAATCTCAAGTGTGCGTGAGTGCACTCAAAGAATGCATACAACAGCAAATGGCTCCTAAATAAATTAGCCAAGTGCTTAGCAAAACATAATCCTTGAAAAAACTTAAATCCCGTAAGCTACCACATGAGGGGTTACAAGTTTCAAGAATCTCTTAAAACATTTCTTTCAAATAAATATACTGCATATATACATTTATCATATACGACTTGCAAGGGTTTCCTTTAATAAGACCCAAATTTCTGGATTCAAGTTGAGATTGGATCGGGAAAGGAATCCCAAGGGGAACCCGTGTGGATGGACGGACGAGAAAAATGTTAAAATATGCGAAATCGGGGGACTTTTTGTATAATACCGATCATATATTTCCAAACATTGACAAAGTATTGGGTTTAGATTGAAAATTTTAAAATATTATGTAAGTCAGAATGTTTTATGAAATAAAAGTTGTATTTTAATAAATAAGTTTATAATACATTTATTTATTAATATTGAAAGAGTTTCTTTAGAAAGTAAGGACGCATTGAAAAAAAGAAATTTCGAACGGACGGGATAAATTTAGAAACTTCGGAACGGGACTGGATATGTATCTGTTTGGGGCGGGTCGGGTATCGGAATTTCTTGCCCATGCACAGCTCTAATTTAAATTTGTTTTAAAACCACCTAAAAATTTGTTCCAGTGTAGTTTACAAAAATAAATGCGAAAATCTGTGGCAATGTTTGCATAACAAGCAGCCAACTAAAGTCGCTCGCCTGCTGTGTGAAATGTTTTAATTTCACTTAAAGCGCTTAAGACACCGCCTCGTCCTAGCAACCAAAGCAGATGATGGTGATGAGTACGGTCCTAAGCTGGCCGCAAAATGAATCCGCAAACACACATGTATGTACACACGCTGGCTACAAGGGGATGGGGATGTGTGTTGACGGCTCGCGTTTTGTTCAAGAACAAGGCGCAGAGTTCAGCGTTCTTTCTTTCAATTATTTATTGTTGTTGTTTTTTTTTAGCAGCTCCTTGCCTCTTTGATCGCTTTTTCCGCTTCTTTTGTGGGCCAACACAAAAAGAGAGCTCCTTTTGTCTGCGGTCTGAGCCTGTCAACAATGGCATACATATGTCCACACACACTACACACACAGATACACATATTTTTTGTAGTTTCAGGGCCAGATTTTGTACTCCTTTTTATTTATTATTATTTTTTTGGCTGTTTGTTATTTCTTTGATTTGATTTGCCGCCTTAAAGGGACTTTGGTATTGTTTATAAGACGCTCTTCGCCCTTTGACGGACTGGTGAGAGCGAATTACGCCTTCTTTGATTTTGCACAACCTATTGAAATCATAATTAGAAGACAAATGCCTTCAGTTCTCCGGGCACAATGGCCAGGCAGCGAAGCTGAAGTGCTTATTTGCGTCGTAATGTTGAGCAAAGGATTCTTAAAACTTAAGTGCTAATAAAGGCAAGGGAGCATTCTTGAGGTAAAAGTTGAAGAAGCTATTTTATACAACTGGTAACAGCCTTTGGGAATTAACACGTAAATAATATAAGATTATATAAACTGTGATATAGGCGAACCTTTTAAATGTGCGTAATAAAATCTATCAAATTTTAGAACTTTTTATCTTTTAGGAATATCAATGGCATAATTCCAAGTGAAAATGTAAATGAAAAATATATATGAAACCTACAAAAATATATATATTGAATGGTTTCTGAAATTGAATTAGCGGCTATTTATGAAAATGAAGCTTTACTTAAGATAAACTTGAAGTTGAAATAATAGTCTTGCTTAAGATATTATTTAGACTTCAAGTTAAACTCTTGTTATAAATACTGACAGTCTAAAATATTTGAGCCTTTAAGCAAGAAATTCAAGAAATTCCTTTTAACCAACATCAACTGTTTTCACTCATTTTTAACTTTTTTTTTTTCTCAATCCTCATTTTATTACAGGAGACAGTCACATAGGAGAATATTAAATCCGTCTCCTCTTTATCTTCCCCAGTATCGGAAGCCTTTGTTATATACGGGCGATGGCCCAGTGCCCCGTTATGACTCCTAGCATTATCCTTATCCTGTTCTTGTTAAAGTGTAGGGTTTGGATGTCCACTAAATAATGTGTTTTGACCAGAGTATAACTGATATTTGATAGTTAGGCTCAGAGGCACACTGTCCCTCTGTTAATCAATATAAAGTTTACTTTTCGAGTCTGTAGATACCGGCTACAAGGGACGTTGACAATCCAATCCTAGCGCACTTGTCCGCCATCTAGCTGCTTATTGCACCCGGAATGGCCAGATACCCAAGCAATGGCGATTGATGAATTTTGGACTTGGTTCGAAATATGTGTTGTGAAAGAGTTTGCTTTTGGCAGTGTGAGATGATTGATGCTATTAATGATATGTTCCTTGGGGTCTCCCCCAGAATGCTGATGAGTATGAGCCGTTTACGAGACAGCTTAGATCTCTGCTTAAAACTCTACACTAGTCCAGTCGACGGTAAGATAGTTATGTTGCCAGCTCCTTCGAAAAGACGCCGGCCCCTGTTCTATCTTCCGTTTTCGACCCAGAAAATGAAGAGCTCGTTCCTCCGCAAGGGGGGTTTCCGCTCCAAGTTTTTCCTTCCACACAGCTATCACCTATCCGGCTGTGGCTGAAGAAGTTGCAATTCCCGGGGTTTGATTGCCCTTCTAGTTGCCGCATGCATGAGGTAAATGCCTATTAAAGCCAAATCCAAGATGTAGTTTATATTACACTAAGGCAGGCAGCATTTTGGTCATTATGATGTTGGCAGTTTTGAATGAATGTGAATGAATGTGAATGTGAATCTCCTAACAAAATTAACGTTTGCAGATGCAAAAGGAGCCGTATTGTCTTTCTCATTCTTTCCTCTTCTAAAAATGTTTTGAGTCCACATTTTGAATTAGGGTACTTCGTGTCTTCTTGTAAGGAAAATCAGTTTGGTCTTTTGTGAATTGCCACACAGACCAATTTACTGTGCCTACTGCAGGATACAGCCATGAGCAGAGTCCAAGAGTCTCACAGATTGTGGGTAAAAATTTAGCCGTTATCATGAGAACCAGCTTGTCCTGCAATAATCATGTATCCACAATTGAGAAACTCCTCCTGGGGAGTGCCAATTGTAGCCTTCCCTAAGTTTGCAGAGCAGCAGACCATGTTGCCAAGCCATCTAGTGATTGCCGGGTGTGAGCTGATTTTGGTGTGAGCAAACATCGACTCGATCCTGACATTCTTTACAACTTGGAGGCACATAAAAGTCGCACTTCAAATGGATACTTCTCTGTTTGTGAGTTTATTATGTTACTGCACATGAAAGTCGTCTCGCTGATTTATGGCGGATAGGTTCCATTTGCTGTTTTGAATTACACTTTAAATTAGTAGTATTCTATATATACTAAAACACACATACTATAACATTTAATAGACTTGTCAAAGTGGCGACCACATAAAACGGCAGGTGGTTGTGGCGGGCCAGGCCGCATTCATTTCCTGTGGGGAATTGCTTTGCTTTGGTTTCGTTTCTTAAGCGGGGCTGATACAAATTGATTTGTAATTAGTTGCAGTTGCAGTCAACAATATGATTAACTTGGCATTTGGCGTGGCCGACCAGGCACAGCCTACTCTGAGCATTGGGAGTTGTCTAAGGTTACAAGCCAGCCACGCGGCCACAGCTGTGCGCAGGCGTGGATGCGGCTCAACGAACAACATATCCACTTGAACGCTGACATGCATAAATTACATTCAAGGAATGCATTATCCTTAGTAATATCCTAAGAAATTGACAGTTCCTTAAAGTAGTCGGCTCTCAATGACATCTGTGGGCGTTCTTGTGACTTGCTGAAGCTGCTGTGGTTTACCCGAGTATCATCATCAGCATGTGTCAACAAATGTTGGACCGTCTAAGTATCCATAACATATCATATGCAGCCAGCCATACAATCCCCGACAGTCGACAGTTGTGCGCAGTTCGTGTCATAAATCAGGGCAGGAAAAGTGCATTAGCAGCTACATTTCAACGCTTTTTAGTTTATCGCTGTCGCTGTCTCTAATTGTTTATAATGCTTTCGTTTATTGAATTTATATAAAATACATGATGAGTTTTTCCACAATTTCACTAGTCAGTTATTAAATTAGACCTTAATCCACTTTGACACGCGCATATAAACATTAATTGAATTCACAAATGAGCAGTTTTTATTAAATTATAAATTAACTAATTACCATGTCGGTTATTATTATTGTTATTCTGTTTTATTTTTTTTATTTTTATCATTGTTTAACTTGATAACGTGACGTTTTTACACGCCTCAACAATTGGATTAAGTGCATAACATGAAATGGCATTTAAAATGGCGCTTTTAATATAAAAACACATACCAACAAAATCCGTTTGACTGTTTGTCGGTTATTCCGGTTTTATTTTAATTTAGTTAATGAAATGTTTTGTGTTCGGGATTTAAATGGTTGGGTTAACCAAAAAGTATAATGCCAACCAATTGTGAGAGCTGTAAATATAAATAAATAATTATTATCAGTTAATAGCATTTATAATTCAAAAGTAACGAATGAAAATTAATTTATGAGACAATTACAATATGATAAAGTCGAATAAAAAACAAGAGCATAGTAGTTGGATTATTATTAAATAAATTCTTTACATACTTACTCGATAGCCAAGTTCATCAAAAGTCTTTAACGAACTTTTCTCCCATGGACTTTTCGATTAGTTTCATTTGACTGACGTATTTCGACTTTCTTATCCAAGAATCTTAACTATCTAAGTAACTAAGCGTGAGCGTATCAAATTGATGAGAAATGCAGCAGTGTCTAATCATTAGCTGTTGTCACTGTTCCCACAAAGCCTTCCTTCCACCTTATCGCCAACATCAACACCCAAGAAAAGTCATCATTTTCTTTGCATAATGCAAGGGAAAAGGTCATATAACATTGGCCCAAATCATCATCATTCATATTCATGTATGGCATATAAAAACTGCCCCATAATTTCATTGCACCAACAAAACCCGGCAGACATTTAAACGCCTCCCCCCTCCCTCCTGCCGACGCAGTGCATTTATAATTTGATCGATTGCGCAGCGCTTCCAAACTACTTTGACATTAATTGACTCCAAATATGCACAAGCGCATGAAATTATGAAAATCTTATTAAAGTCAACCAGCCAGGCGAACACTGAACGAGCCTTTTGTTCGTCTAAAACCGAAAAAATTCACCGGGCAAACTTCATAAATGCTAATGTGCCTGGCTGCTCTGACGGCCGGCTAAGAAATGATTGATGGACTTAGCCAGGGCGACGAAAAAAAACTCGCCTGCTTTGGTTTGAGGTTTCTATTTACTATTGACTGCAAAATTATGCGGTGCACACCTACAGCCAACGGCAAAAAAGGGATCAATTCCCGAAAAAAAACGTCCTAGCACAAAATTTCACCTTTTACCTTTAAGGCACATTTTCGGCAACTCCTTGATCCAATTTAATCCCACGGCTTAGGCACAACGAGCTGGGCTTAAGCGTATTAACGCATGTTGCAACATGTTTACTAGGACCTAACAAAGATTTAGTTATTATACTGCTGGGCAGCATAGCAAATATTTTGAGGTTGCCGCCCTTTGTATGCGAATTCGGTTGCGTAGAGGCGGTTCTACAATGATCTATGGCAGGACAATTCCTTTGACGGCAGAGTTCTTTAGAAATAAGAGCGGGAGTTGTTAAGACAAAATATACATGTTTGTAGTTGGATTATCATAGCAACTATTACCTTAGCCGCCCATTTTTCTGTTAACTTCCGCAGGGGCACAGCTAATTCTCATTAAAACTCATGCTGAGTACCTATACTCAAATTATACATCGTGCTAAATTGAAATGTATTTCTATTTGTTCAAGAAAAACCTTTTAAGCAATATTAAAAATTGATTGTCCTGACGGATTGGTGGTCAATGCAAGGCCCAAAGCGCAGGAGCCAGACAGCTGAACGTATTCCTGAAGCTTTCGGAAAAATCAACGGCCAAGGAGAAAGTCGTAGTTAAAGTTTGTAGGAAAAACATCGAAAACAATACAGCCAAGGGTCTAAGTATCGCGCCAACAAGGGAGAAGTCGCCGGTTCAACTCCGTCTGTTTTTATTTACTTAATATACTTATTTTTTTGGATAATTTCTTTAATAACTAAAATTATCTAAATTAAATCAGAGGTAATGTAAAACTCTTACTGTAATAAGATTTCACAATAAACATTTCAGAAACTAGTTTTAAATATAACGAGTCAATTTACACTTATCTAACTTTTGATTCAGCAAGCGGCTTGCATTTATGTATTACTCAAGCAATCCTCACATGGAAAGCAATTTGCTTAGCCTAGCTCCAACCCGACTCACACGAAAGTCCAACAAGAATAAATGTATTCTCAGCTCTATTGTACATTATCAGACAGACCCCGTCTAACTTCCTGTTTTGTATGTGGAGTCCTGTGCGTGTGGCGCCGTAAAAAACATTTTGTGTAAATGCGGCGCAAACAAGCTCGAGACTAATTACTGCACAAGATAACAGCAGAAAGCAGACCGCACCAGGATAATAATCTAAGCAAATTTATCAACAGTCGAAACGGACACACACACACACTTAAGGATTGAAATGGAAAGGCCCGTGTGGGTGTGTACAAAGCAAAAAAAAAACACACACACACAAAATAAAGGCACATAAAAATATAAAAGCCTTGTGCTTTGCATGTGTGCAACACCAAGGAAGACATACACAAAAGGATACAAGTGAAAAATTATGCGATGGAGACTCGAACAGACAAAAAGCAAACCAACAAATAGGCTAAAGGGCCCCCCAGCATTCTGTACAGTTATTTGTTAAGTGTGAACTTGAGGCAAAATCATGCCACGTGCCGCAGCCCAACAGAATAGGACGCACAGCGCATACACGAGCTGGGATTCACCAAGGAAAAACAGACACATTTCCATCGCCAAAACGAAACTTTAATACGCTTACATTGTGCGTAAGTGTTTTATTATGGAAGAGATTAAATTTAGTTGAAAAGCTGTTTCACTAAAATAAGTAACAAAATTAAAATCGGAAGCTATCTAGTTTCAGATACAATGTTGTTTCAGATAATGTTACATATACTCTTGATTCGATCTTTCAGGGTAAATAATAAAAGCAAAGCAGTGTAGTTTTTAAATGGATTTAACTTAAAATATCTTATATAGGATTGGCCAAAAAGTCGAGTAGTCAAGTCTAGGATCGTAATATACTACAATATTTCTCTTAATCGTAGACTATTTCTCTTAATCATAATATGAACTTTCTGTTGAGGGATCGACCAGAATAATGCAAACGCAACGCTTAAAGATTATTTGTATTAATGAATATTTTAGTTATTTAGTGGGAAACTTTAACATACATCTTTCAAAGTACGCATTTAAAAATCTTATCAAAAAAATAAATAAATAATCGTTTAAAATTACGCAGGAAAGTATATTTCCTTGAAGTCCCAATCATTCAAACAAAGTAATTATACCCTTCGCATAAATCGGCAACTGGGAGAAAATTGCATGTTGCTCGAGTAAAATAACAAAAATTTGTTTTTTCACACAAATAACGAGAAGCCAAAAGGCCTCCAAAAAATGTCTGATAATAACACCCGCAATGCCCACCCACATTCTCCCACAAGGAACGCCTAAGTAACAGCTTTTTAGCATAAATTTCCAGTTACACGGCAGGAAGTCGTCGTGCGTCAGTTGCTTGCCACAATTTCCATTAGCAGCAAGCGCCACATGTGACGTTCCCGCTGCCAGGACATTTGACATTTTAAGGAGCGCCAAGAGCGAGTGGCCCACAGGTGAGCCCCAGAAGTCGAAGCCCTGCCCCGACTTGACATGTCAACTGTGTGTATAGCACGCACAATTTGAGTTGAAATTCTCAAAGGTAAAATAAATATATAAGCGATGGACTAACAGTAAATACACATAACTGAATAGCAGCATGGCCAAGGAAGGGCAAACAAATGCAAGGAAAAACCTGCAACGGCGCTGCCAAGTCCCAGTTCTCAGCTCGCTCTCTCTCCGTGCTATTTCCAGAGGTTACCGTATCCCCTGTTGCCGTGCACACCTGTGGTAAACGCTCAAATTTCAATGAAATGTTGAAATAGAAATTAAATGCCAGACCGCATTTTAGACTAATGCCAAAATTGCGCGCTCCCAACGTGCTCGTATCAGCTTACAGCAGCAACAGCATCCCTCGCCTCCCACTCCAAGGTACAGGTATCCTGTTTATGGCAGGCAACCTGAATCAACCACAACATATACACCTATTTCCTCTGTGCAACGCGGTGTCACATGAGACGCTTGCCAAAATAAATAAAAAAATATGTATACATATATATATTGAATACACCTCCCGTGCTCAACCACAATGCCAAGGAAGTGGCGGCCCAAAAGACAGGAACAACCCAACACTTAGTTTCGGAAATGGCCCATAGCTGCCTCCGAGCTGCCTTCGAGCTGCCTGCTGATGTGGCAGTCCCTAATAGTCGGTGGTCTGGGCCCAGTTAAGTGTTTTGCATTTGCCATGCACAAAGCACCTTTGGCATGTGCAAAATTTAGATGGATTCTCGATAAGTTTATGCCAGGCAAAACGATTATAAGCGATTCGTCGATATTTGTCAAAGGCAAAAGGTAAATTGAGTGCATGCGGGCATCAGGCCTTAGCCTAGGAATCATTTGCGTAGATAATAATCGACAAGGAAGCGTGTTGAGGTCAGGTAAAGAGTAATATTAACCTGAAACGAGTGTGTGCCCGACTAGCTGATATCCTCTAATCAGTTGCGGTAACAAAGATAAGAACTTTAGCTGGGAGAAATACGGAGAAATATTTGTGGTGCCTCAAGCCTTTTATGCCTTAAAGCCAATCTACAAGATATGCTCAGAAAACAGTTAATTAACATCGATATATATCAAAATATATCGGGTAATTGGGTAAACTATATTGTACTTGAAATATACGCAACTCCAGACGGACAAACGCATGATAATCCCAAATATATATATATTTACTTTCTGGATTAAGAGAAGCACGCATTTTTCTGTCACATAAATTTGCACAAAACAAGTATACCCTTTTGCCAGTTTTCAATGGATACAGGGTATACAAATATTCAAAATATCTATCAAATATTTATGCACATCCCCTATAATGTAATTGTGCATGAACGATGTTGACAGCATTTAAAAGACAAGTTTTAAGAAAACTTGAAATATTAAAAATCAATATAAATGGATTTTAAAAATATATCAAATATAATATAATTACTTTTTTGTACCTAACCTAGTTAGACGCAAACAGGACTCAAAGTTAAAATAATAAATTATAAATGAAATAAAGATATATTTGTCAAACTTAAATATTTTTATAAAATTAATTATTTAAAAATGAGGTCCCTTTAATTGAGGACACAATATCAAATCTTAGTCTGATATTGCTGGGATTGC